CGTTCCATATAAATTGTATAATAAGTAACATGTTTGAAATATGTTCTATAGCTATCTCAGTTTTCTACTGAATTGACCATATTAAAATAACTCGTTCTATACTAATTTTTAAATACAGATGTTGATATAATTACATGTAATACTGTTTAACGTTTTTGGGTATTTCATTTATCTTTACTGTGGTAATATAATTTATAACAATAATAGTCGTAATAATATTATAACATATTCACTTACAATTTGTCGTCTGGATTCATTACTGGGTATTTAACAATAATTGACTTAAAAATAACACTTTAGTATTAAAAAAGTCTTGTCATTTACTAGGAAGTGTGATCTAAAGTGACGATAAGCTTCAAAGGCAACACGTGCAGATTATGATCAAAGGACAATCGATCCTATTGAAGTCTAAGTGACAGACTTTTGACATGAAATACCACAACCTCTGCTAAATGAGGAAAACTGCACCACAAAAGGATAGAGATGTGCAAATTGGTCAGTCAAAGATTATTCAAGAAATTGTAAATACTTAATTATATATGATTGTAAATGTGTTTTTTTCTAAAACAATTCTGTCCAGTAACGTTGCCAGGTTGTCATTATTCAATCTAAAAAATTTTGGTTGAATTGGGAAAACTGCTTTGAGTGAGTAAATTTATTTACTGAATCACTCAATCAATTGCTTAGTTGACAAATAATGATCTCAGATTAATTCGGGAAGCTTTCGAAAAATAATTAAAATGTTTAGTTTATTAATAATAAATCAGAATCGTATTAGGGCTATTATTTTCTGACTTACTACATTCCATTGTTATTTACAGATAGCTCGGACTTAATAAATATGTAAGGTATGTCTACACCCCAGTCCTGATAGCCACACCTTTTCAGTTATGTAAGAGAGAACAAACCAGTTTGTGGTTTGTTTAACCCGCTGTTCAACCCACGTCAATGCTACCAACTTTCCGCGGCCAAAGTTACAACTTGTTCGACAAAGTTACGGAGTAGTTTCTCAGAGACTTTTAAAAGGAATTCCTAAACTATCAACTTTCACTGCTTGTAGTATGAAGAAGTGAGTTTTGTGTACACATATAATAATTTAAAATACATAGTTAATAACAAGAATTTCCTAAAAAAAACGTAAAGTATATTTTCAAAATCCAAGGTTATGGAAAGCACATGATAATTATTAAGAATTATAAAAGAGACAGATTTGACAGGACATTCGGGGTCTTCTTAATAACTAAACATTTTTTAAAGAAATATTATAGGTTAGTTAGTAGGTAGGATAGTTAGTAGGTAGGTTGGTAAGTAGGTAGATTAGTAGTTTTAAAGGCTGGGCAACCAATCCACCCAAAAGTTAAAAGTTTCCTAACTTAAAAATTTTACCTTAGGATTTATTATTAGTCATCGTAGTAGTCGACGTTGGATATCTTAGTAAGTTTTCAATAAGAAAATGGTCTACTAAAACCTTTCATGGCATGATTTTTTAAGAATTTAAAAAACATTGATTGAAAAATCAGCATTACTTGAGTCTTTCAAACCTTCTACAGAAAAACTGTATGAAACTACTATTTAATAAAAGCAATATGAGATAGAGAGTGGACAAACGTGAATAATAACTGTGAAATGAATCTGTATCAATTATTCAAGTAATATTTGGATTAAACAAATTAGCAACTAAGCTATGGGTAATCATGCAGATTATACCACGAATTAATATAATTAATTATGCCTATAACCAATACATTCCACTAATTATACATTATGATCATACAGTATTAGTACTAGTAATATTCATGAAGTGGGTTATTCGATGGAATCCTTTTTGTAGTTAAATATTCAGTTTGACTTAATAAAAATCCATTTTAGGTCTTGATAACATGTATACAAATATAAAGTATATCAAAATATAGCTAATGTCGATATACATTATATATTTTAAAACATGATACAATTCACTGATTATTTAAAAAGGTATATCAAGCAGTTTACATTGTGTAACATCGAATAAATTTAAGATTAATAAGAGATTTTGTTTGTCCAAGTTGTAATCCACGCTTAAACGTTATTTAATTATTTTCAAAATTACGAGATTACTCATTTGAAGGGATAATTTTATAAAGTAAAAGAGGGTTTAAACTAATAAAATTTACTTTAAACACTTCAATTATCATTTCACTAATTAGAGCATTTAAATAATAAACACGCTTGATTAGTTTAATCTCTTCAATTATTCTATAAAAGTTTTTCTAACAATTAACGATCCCATTACGCGTAGTTAATGCTTTATTGCATTTACGTGTTAATTTACATCATTTAATGTTCACTTTTTAGTTGGAGGAGAAACATTATAAACCACTCATCAGTTAATTAATCACTTAATTTGTCAGGGTTTTTTGTTATTTTTGTTGGGGTTTCCTGCAAATATTTGGCTGTGTATCAGTACTTTTTTACAAACGTAATTTTACTTAAAATGGTTTACAATACCTGCATATAGTAATCCTTTGTTGTTGATTTAGGCAACTAGATTCGGTTCTTGTTTTGAACCATCTTCAGGCCTCAAGGTGTCAAGTGATCACTTCATTCGAAGGTCGTTAACAGAGTTCAATAAATAAAACATATACAAAACACGATACACGGAACGGACACACATTACAAAAAACACGAAGGGACATTGACAATCGATCGTGACGTTTCGTACCGCTAAGATTACATCTTCAGGCTAAAAACGTTAAACACTATTCTCATTGATGTATGAGGTCGTCAGCAATAATATATTTAATCTTCTGGGGCTAAAAAACACTAAAAAACACAAACACATATAAAAAGGCCTTTATACAAAAAACTTGAAAAGTATAATAAAATAATAAAAATACACGCTAAATAAAAATCTAATTCACTACTTAAATGCAAGAGTAAGGCAAATATTCTTTTGCAGCTTCGAAAGCGAAGGTTATTAAATAAATGAATCAATCAAATTTCGTTTTTCGTTTGATTTGTTGAGTAAATTGATGAATGTAATGACAGACAGAAAAATCCATTAGTAATATTGAGTTAAAAATTAAGTGTGGTTTAGAGATTTTCGCACTGACAGGGCTCCAAATCTTTAATAAAAATGCATATATATTGAATAGAAGTGTTTAGTGTGTTAAGTGTTACTTAGAATGTGAATAAATATTCATATAGTGTTTTTAGCTGGTGTTTTATTTGGAATTCGATTGATCAAGAAAGACTACGAATTTAAACTGTTAAACGAATTTGCGGTTGAAAAAAGTAGTTTTAAGTTCCCTGTCTGTAGTTTTTAAGATACAGCATTGAATTGAATTAATTGACGTTTTATTGCAACAAATATGTATACTTTAATTCCCTTAAAAATATTATATTGACATTCTATGGACCATAACAATCTTCATGCCTGTATTTCATGTTAACTGATACACAAACATAACAAAGCAATCACAAAGAGAATGCAAAGCATTGTTGTTACGATATTTGGAATCACGACAACAGTTACACTTAACTTCTGACTCCGGAGTGTTATCTGACTGTCTTGGTAACTTCAAACATAAACGAACCATTGAACATTGCTGTAGGTTAGTGTTTAGGAAACACTTATGTAAAAGCTTAACTGAACACTAAATTTTACTTTAGTGCATCTTAATGCTTCAATTAACTAATTTTTTTAGAGGTTAGCGGCCTCTTTTAACCTTTTATTTGTACGTCCACATAGACTAACTGCCCATGCGTGGATCGTATACAGCAAAGCAAGGAGTGAGCCGGTACGATCTGTGCTGATAAAATGTTTTCGGCAGTGACCAGGATCCGAACGCACGACATCGCTGCCTTAAAGTCTGAAGTCCGTGACGCTACCGACTGAGCCACCGATCACTGAAGGTCACTTAGTTGTATTACTTCTGCATTGCTTTAAAGGGTTTGATATGGTCATAGTCAATAGTATATTTAACCGTGTAAGTCAATTGTAATAGTACAATGTAATATTGAAATTGAAAGTTACTGGTAGAACATTTATTTAATGCCTAATGGCAGACCACTGTAAAATATTTCACGAATTTATTAATTAATATTAGTTACACTGATGCAAAGAAATTTAAATTTAACCTTAATCTAGAAAGGGCTAAAGGATTAAGGAGTACCATTATGGGGAACAAGTTGGTCTAGTGTTAGAGCGAGGGGCTTCGGAGGCCCTGGGTTCAAATCACACCAATTGTGTTCATGGTGGGATTTGAAATGTATGGATTTCATCCATGTGATAATACCGCCACCTTCTAGGACTAATAATATGTAAAACAGATTCCGGGCTAGAACTAGCGTTCTAAGATGTGAAGGAAAAACATAAAAAGGGAGTACGTTTTAACCAAATTTATGGTCTAACTTTTAATAACATACCTTTACCAGTGCCTACTTTATTGAAATAAAAGAAAAAGGTTAAGTTTTCTCTAAGTTCATCTTTCGGTATCTATTCTTAAGAATCTTTATAAATATTACGATAATGCAAAAGTATAAATCACCCAGTCATTTAAACACCCGATGTCTATGTCTAAAGCTGATACTGTAATCTTATGATCTCATAACCTTGAAAGTCAACTTCAGCTTCCTTAACATCGATATATTATTGACCATACTATTGAGCTTGTTACAACTACACGTATCGTATATTACGTCCACTAACCTGTTACTCATTTGCTAGACTGCTTGTCTCCGACGTCGGGCTGTGACGTCAGCTGTTGTCGTCATCGGTGGTCAGTGTAGCCAATTCATAAACATAAATTCCTCTTGCTACTTTACTTTAATAATATACTACACTCGCCCCAACTTAAAATCAAGCTCTTCCTTTAATAGGCGTAAATAATAGTCCTAGGCCTAATACCAAAAATCATTAACCAATTTCAAAGTCCATAGTTCATTGCATTTAACTTAAAACTTTTCTTCAATAACTCAAAATAAAAATTACTTCTTCAGTTACACAGTCGACTGTTTACTTAAAGATCAAGCCTCCTCGGCTTACGAACGGCCCGTTGAGACCGTCTAAGAAGTTTCGGGCTTGACTGCACTTCATGTCTTTCTTCAAGTCTTGGTAGAGGGCTAGATGCTTCTGGCAGGCTTCGCCTCTGATGTGAGGGCGTTATCGCCGCTGGCTGAGGGCTAGGTATCTTCACTGGTGAAATAGGCCTAACCGGAGGTGATGCCTTGACTGGTGATGGCTGTGGAATTCGCCTATCCACCAAAGTCTCCTCTTCGTCTCCCAGAAGACTGGAACGCAGATGGTCCGCATGACAAAACCGGACCTTGCCTAACACACTTACAACATAAGTCGCAGGGCTTCTTTGCTCCATCACTTTTCCAGGAACCCATGACACATGCTCCCCTCTGACCGTCTTCACCCACACCTTATCTCCTTTGCCAAAATATCTAGCACCACCTCGGATGCTGTTTGCAGCTGAACGTTGCTGTTCCTTCTTTTTATCAATCACTGACAACAAATTAGGCTTAAGTAGGGTTAATTTTGTTCTGGGTTTCCATTGGAGAAACAACTCGGCTGGTGAGAGTCCAGTTACTGTGCTGGGTGTGTTCCGGTACACAAACAGGAAGTTGTCTAATTTATGCTGTAAGGTAACACCTTCCAATTGACTTTCTATCACTTGCCTCTGCAGATTTTTCTTTACCTCTTGCACACATCTTTCGGCTGCGCCATTGGACGCAGGGTGATAGGGGGGTGACAAGGTGAATTTTATACCATTCCTACTCAGAAACTCCCTGAACTCGGCACTCGTAAAATTAGGTGCATTGTCACTTAACAGTTCTTCCGGCAACCCATAAGCAGCAAACAAGGTTCGTAATCTTTCAATGGTTTTGAATGATGTAGTTGATTTCATAAGAAATACTTCAAGCCATTTTGAAAAACTGTCAACTATAACTAACAGTTGTTGTCTAGTTTGCGGATCTTCCGCATAGTCAATATGAATTCTCTGCCATCTGTTGGTAGTTCTAGGCCATTGATGCAATGGCACCTTAACGGCAGCATTTCTAGTGCACTGACAAACAGTGCAGGTGGACACGGTTTCCTCTATATTTTTCTCAAGACCAGGCCACCAGACGTAGCTCCTGGCTAACATTTTCATACGCGATATTCCTGGATGCTGGTCATGTAGTAATCGGATTACAGCACTCCGAAGCTTATCGGGCACGACTACTCGTGCTCCCCAAACGACACAATTGTTGTCAACCGACAGTTCATCCTTCCTTCTGAAATATGCAATTAACTCAGGTTCATCGGCCGAACGCCAACCGTGCCAAATAAAGTCCCTTACTTTTGATAACACAGGATCCCTATCAGTCAATCTAGCAATATCTTTAGCCGTAATAGGTGTGTCGTCACTCACCAATTTGTAGCAGCTTAATACTTCCACCACATTTTCCACGTGAGAGAGGTGATTGGCCTCTAATTCCATGGTCTCATCATTGGGCAGCGGCAATCTTGAAAGGGCATCAGCATGAGGGAGATCCACCCCTCGCCTGTACTTCACCTCGAAGTTATAGGCTGACAGAATCAACGCCCAGCGTTGCAGACGAGCCGCAGCTACACACGGCACTCCTCGCTTACTTCCAAAAATGGCAACCAAAGGCGCATGATCTGTCTGCAACACAACATTTGAACGACCATAAATGTATTTATGGAACTTTTTGACTCCAAACACAAGCGCCAACGCTTCTTTGTAAAGTTGAGAGTAATTCTTTTCACTTGCACTCAAAGATTTTGAGGCAAACGCAATTGGTTTTTCCACACCGTCAATGAGATGAGAAAGTACTGCTCCAACACCCCGTGGGCTCGCATCACATGTCAAAATCAAAGGTTTATGCACGTCATAGTGAACCAATACATCAGTAGACAACACCCATTGTTTACTCTGCTGAAAAACCTCTGAACACCTTTTAGACCATACCCAAGGTTCGTCCTTTCTAAGTAGGTCATAGAAACAGCTTATTTTATCTGACAAGTTACAAGTGAATTTACCATAATAGTTGATTAGGCCTACATAGGCCTTGAGCTCTTCCTTACACGTTGGTTCTGGAGCGTCACGGATCGCTTCCAAAATACCTTCCTGGGGACTAATTCCCTCTGAAGTCAAGCAGTATCCCAGATATTGAACAGAAGACTGTAAAAATTTACATTTGCTTTGGTTTACCTTAACTCCATAGCTTTGAAGTCGCTGCAGAACATGTTCCAATCTTGTTAGAGCCTCCTCTCGGGATGATCCACCAACCAACACATCATCTAGGTACGCCACTGTACCTGGGTGTCCTCCAATTATCTTGTCCATCGCCGCCTGGAAGAGGGCCGGGGCTGACGACAAGCCATATGGTAAGCGACGTAGCCGCACGAGACCTTTATGTGTCGCCAATGTCAAAAGTTCCTGAGACTCCTCTGCAACAGCAAGCTGGAGGTACGCCGCCTCCAAATCCAACACAGAAAAACATTTACAGCCTGCTAACGAGGCAAATATATCTTCGGGCTGCGGCAACGGATAATGTTCTGACTGTATAACCTGGTTCAGAGTAACTTTAAAGTCCCCGCACAAGCGGACGTCTTGTTTCTTTTGTATAACTACTATTGGGGTAGCCCACTGTGAGCTTGTAACAGGGTAGGCAATACCTTCGGATATCATCCGATCAATCTCTTCTTCAACAGAAGTATGCAAAGCGTACGGAACAGGTCTATATTTACAAAACTTAGGGATAGAGTTTTCTTTTAAGACTATCCTAGCCTCAACATCTTTGATCTCCCCCGGACCACCTCTAAATACAGAGACATATTTTTGTTTTAATGCCTTAACCTCATTAGGTTCTATAGAAACCTTTCCGGTTAGGTTAGGTGAAACCCCCTCTTTGGCTGCCTCATTAGGCTTGGGTTCATGACTACCAGTAGCGGTTGCGCTAGCAAAATTACATGAGAAAATTGATTTCCAATCTAAATCAATGTGCTTAATCCAGTTTCTTCCTAAGAGCATTGTTTGGTTAGCACGATTTATTTGAACCACAATCATAGGCAAACAATAAGAATGGTCCTTGTAGTCAACATTGACTTGAGCTTGCCCAGTTACTATGACTTCGTTGCCAGAATAGGTTAACAACTTAATATCTACAGATCTCAATGGAACGTGAGAAAAATATTTCTCAAATATTTCCTGAGGACACACTGACAGTGCCGAACCAGTGTCAATTTCCATAACTACAGGCACATTCTCTATAGCTAGCCTTACCTTGTAATCAGAGTTACTTGAGCATGAGCCAATATTATATAGAGACAAATTTTCCACTTCCTCATTTATGTCTAGGCTAGGCTTCCCTTTATCTTCCAGTTGATGCACCTTATACCTTCCTTTTAGCTGGCTTTTTGCAGCAGTTTCGCCTTTAGATTTGCACGCCTTGCTAAGATGGCCTACTCTTCTACACAAATTACACCTATAATTACTATAAGGACACATATGAGCCTTATGATCCCAACTTGTGCAACGATAACACTTTATCTTGCTATCATTATTTTTCTCTTCAAAAGATTTTAACTTGTACCCAACAGGATTCCCACTTTTCACAGGACCACGTGCACACTTTTTCACACTAAATTTGGAAATATCTTGCACAGGATGATTCCCGAATAAGCCTGTTTGCCTTTCAGCCTGTTCTAGCATGAGCGCTTGAGCAAAAGTTTTGCTCAAATCTAATTCTTCGGAAAGCAACTTTTGCCTTATTCCATCATTACTAATGCCTGATATTAGTTTGTCCCTCAAAGCATCATTTAAGAATGTACCGAAATTACAGGTACTGGCTAAATGTTTGATAGCGACCATAAATTCCGCTATTGACTCTGCCGGTTTTTGACAACGACTATAAAACGTATATCGTTCCGCAACAACGAGCCTTTTAGGAGCAAAATGTTCTTCCAATTTTTTACTTAGGCTTTCGTATGTTTCATCGTCAATCTTCTTAGGGGATATTAAGTCCATTAACACCGCCAAAATCTTAGGCCCAATCACTGTTATCAAGATGGAGACATGATTCGTCGACTTGACATCGTTGGCCTTGAAGTAATGCTTGAGTCGTAATAAATACGAACTGATGTCCTCTTCGTGGGGATTAAATTCCGAGACTCTACCGATACTCGACATTTCGCACTTTTGCGGTTTTAAAGAACGCACTTTACAAAACTTTCACTAGTTTTACTGCGACAAAACCAATATTTAATCCGGCGTCTGCGCCATTGTTACAACTACACGTATCGTATATTACGTCCACTAACCTGTTACTCATTTGCTAGACTGCTTGTCTCCGACGTCGGGCTGTGACGTCAGCTGTTGTCGTCATCGGTGGTCAGTGTAGCCAATTCATAAACATAAATTCCTCTTGCTACTTTACTTTAATAATATACTACAGAGCTAATAATATTTAAGAAATTAACTAAACGTATTAACTATTTAATATATTTGTAGCAATTAAATTACAACCAACTTATTCCTTAATTTACCAAAGTAACAACAATCTAATCTTAGCTAGAATTGTCTCAACTATATGGAAATGTTTTTATAGTAAGTAGGATATCAAATAACGAATTATTCGCCCTCTATAATAGCATCCACATAATACATACCCGATGACAAAATATAGATTTTTTACACCTCGAATCTTGTCTTAATACGTAAGTGATTACATCTTCATTAATTAGTACTCATTCAGGTTGTACAAACTACAATGAACAATAACCTTTAAAGCTCTTTGTCGGTTTAAATACAGTCCAACAGACCGACCACTGTTTGCTAATGGAATTGTATGAATGCTCGATGTATTCAATTTGCCAAACCAACCAAATAGCAAACTGTTGAATTATTGTCCAACCATAATCATTGATTGAATAAAATTTTATTAAGCTTGAACGTTACATCCCAACGTGTAGGTAAGTATAAATGTGTTTAAGTCTAAAACATATAGTATGGGTTTGGAGCTATGTAAAAATAGTGAAATACTACGTGTTTATCTATTTATAAGATTAACTAAGGTGGTTAAGTAAAAAATAAAAAAGGTGGTGCATAAAAAATTAAAAATTTTACATAACTGATAAAACCTACATTCAAAGTTACAGCGTGTTATAAATAACAAAAAGTCTCTATAACTTTTTAATTGATACATCAATCAAAGGTCACAACTGAATAACTTGAGCTTCTTCGAATTGTTGTATTTAAAAAAATAAATTTTTTAAACTTCATTATCGTACAAAACCCAATGGCAGCTCGGCAGGTGACGTTTACTTTCCAAGAGAGTTACGAGTATTTAGAATTACGGGGATTTATAACGGTTTTACGCTACTTAGAAAATGCAACAACTATGAAACGAGTTTAAGACGTAATTATTGTTTAGAATTTTTGACAGCCATTGTGGTTCAACGTCACTAAAGAATTTGTGAATGATTTCATGACAATTTATATCGGGGTTGTATAACACAAATTTGTTTTTAACAATTGCATTCAACAAGGTCTTTTTATTTGTTTTTGACTTACGACTGTCCCACCCATTTATGTTAACTATTTATTGATAAAGGCTGTAATCAAATTCACCATTATTGATGTCAGCAACACACCGGCACCGGAAGTGACGTAGATGATTGGTGAACGCTACGAACTTCCGGCTACTGGAAATTGAACAATTACCGGGTAAATCTTTGGATTTCTTTTCCCAAAAGATTTCCAAGCCAAGAATTAAAAGGAAAGTTATTACGTGGAATTTGTTATCCAATTAACTATCGTGTTAATCTTTTAATTTAACTTACATAAAGAGTCATTAGAAAAATTCATTTTTTGAAGATTTTTTGGGGGGAAATAGCTAAAATGGAAAAAAAGTTAAAAAACCTAAAAAAACCCCATGTATCATGTACTTTACTGTAATGATGGTTTGCAGCTTATTACATTTTAAAACACTATTATTTATTTGTTGTGTGTACTATGGCCGCTTATCTATTTATTAAAACTATATTTTAGATATATCTAGGTAAAAAAGATGTGTTTTTCCACTTTTGAGTAAGAGCATATTGAACTAAGTTAAAATTGGTTAAACACGCATCGATTTTTTTACCCTGAAAAAAATTTGAACGTCAGAGTATTTTAGATTTTTTACTGAAAAGCAAAATGAACGGGTGTGTCGCGTTTCACCAAACATTTCGTCCTAAGAGACTTCATAGTTTTTAATTTGACCTCCCGGTTCATTTTATTTACTTTTTCCCTTAAGAGTTATTTTCTTCTTTTACAACTGTTTATCCTGGATTTATATTTATGTTTACAAAAGTAGGGAATTGTACATTTTTATTTATACAGATGCATTTTTTCCTTTTAATTCTCTATGTTCATGTTATATGTTACTTATTTTGGCTGTTAAAACATGAACTAATTTATTACTATCCCTGGCTACCAATAAAATAGAGACTAAAAATTATTACTCTATTTATATTGAATTACATCAAATGGAAATATATATAGATAATACTAAAAACACCGCCACATGAAAATGATTTTATATCCCTAGGAAAAAGTTAATGCTTATTATGTCTAACTACATCGCAAACAACAGAATTATTTGCGCAATGTGATCGATGTGAAAATTTATATAAATATTTTGATGAATAGAAGAGGCTTGAAAATTAGAATGCCCTTACAAAACTAGTCGCACGAGACTAAATTAGGATCGATGACGTTAGGTATATTTTTTCGTTATAATACTTAAAAGTAAAAAAAAGGAAAAAACGGTCAGTTTTAGTTAATATTTGAAAAAAGTATTATCTATTTTCCAGATGATGGTTTTTATGCAAAATACAAAATTATGATCTATAGTTGAAATCTTGTTTGTTATGTTTTTGTAGTTTACCTTATGGTTTGAAAGTGTTATAATAATGAAAAGTCGGTATAGTTGACTGTCTTAAAACCTCAGCAACTTAAGTTGAATTAATTAATTCAGGTATTATAGTTTAACCAAACTTTAGTTAGAAACGATGATGACAAAGTTGTTCAAGTTTTAATAAAGCAGTTAATGACTTGATAATTAAAATTGTTTGAAACCCCTGGAGTTATGTGGTTAGTAGCTTACTTAGTCTATGACATTTTAATTTGCTTAAATATAAAATAATGTAGGGAACATTCTTTCATTATTTAAAACGATTTATTTAATGATTTTAAGGTCTTTGCCACTCTTCAACTTTCTAAGAATTGCCTTTACACATAGATAATCTTCTCACTTGAATAACACAATTTTAAACGTTTACCTCTATGTATTACTACCTTTTTTGCCGATTGAATGAGTTTGTTAGGAATTATGTAGATAATACGTACACATTTACTCGTATTATATAATGCACGGTAGTATTAAGTTTTAGTATTTGACAAATCTCAAATGTGATTTCTTGAATAGTCAGGAGTGTGTAATATTTAGTAATAAATGCACACATGTACCTTTTACTAATGCGTTTACAAAAATACTTCAAACATACACCTAATTTAACGTTTTTTACTCTGTAATTTATAAATGGTTCATGATTTTCATTTAAACATTGAATTTACTTGTTAAGTGGTGTTATAGGATTAGACATTATTTAAATATGTTAATTATAGGCACTAGGTTCACATATAAAAATCATATAAGTTTTTGATGAGACGCAATTATGTTATTGGTAAAAGTCTATAAGTGATACAATAAAATACTTAAATTAATTAATTAACCTGAAAATCGGTACAATTTAACAAATTATTTGTGGCCAGTATAAGCCTAAAGGAACTCGACAGCTTCATATTCATAGGTGGTTATAATTGGCCATTATAAGTGGTGAGACTAAAACATTAATAAACAGCGAAACTTTGTCAAGAGCGAAATTCATGTTTACATCATACATTTTCATTGCA